AGTCATCAGGTAGATTTCACTGGTAATGTTTATCACCTCTACTATTTTACATGAAGTAATTTTTTTTAATTTTTAATAACTATATGATTAGAAGAAGCATTTCATTACAGCTTTAACATATTCAGTAACACACTCCAGAGCAAGAGTACATCTCTTTCAAGGTAATGGACCTTTAAGAAATCTATTATAAACTTGGTGCCCGCTATTCTGCTATAAACTTAAAACATTCTATTTAAGTAGGATGCTTCTAGGTCTCACATTTTTTTTAATTTTTAATAACTATATGATTAGAAGAAGCATTTCATTACAGCTTTAACATATTCAGTAACACACTCCAGAGCAAGAGTACATCTCTTTCAAGGTAATGGACCTTTAAGAAATCTATTATAAACTTGGTGCCCGCTATTCTGCTATAAACTTAAAACATTCTATTTAAGTAGGATGCTTCTAGGTCTCACAGTGCTAAGGATCTCTTTCCTTTTCTGTCCCTGGTAATAACTAGGCCTCAGCCAGCACTACTGGGATTAAGCTGTGAAGTTCACGTTGAGGTTATTCTGCTTTGAGAACTCTTAAAACATGTACTAGTACCCTCTGGTTACCCGATGCAACTGAATTCCTTGGGTAATTGATCTGATTATCAACAACATATTTACTAAGACTTATGGGAATTAGGGTCATCCTTACAGAATCTTCACGAGCGTTTTTCTAATGTGTAATGTTAGGCGTCTCAAAGTTTTAGTTATGAGAAATGTTAGAATTTGTATGTGGCTTATGGTGAGATTTTAATATAGAAATCAGGAATATGATCGCCTCTAGATAAGCATTAGTAAAGTATGATGTAAGAATCTTGCTATTTACAAAGTTACAATGTCTTACATTTTCTGATCCTGTAGTATCTTTATTAGTTTTATAGTACTGTTTCCGTGAATCCTTTGTAAGAATGAAGTTAACGGGTTACAACTGCATAGAACAAAATGCCTTACCAGTGTGTTTCACATGTTTTGGTTAACTTTGTTTTCTTTCTTCCTCCTTCCTTTAATGATGTCTGTCCCTCAGGTCATTGCTAAATGGGACAAAGTTCACTTAGGACTGGTAGATGACTTTATTGGAGTGGGAACAGAACAAGTATTGCTCCTTTTTGCTGATTCCCTGAACTCATTTTGGCTAACTCCATTTAAAATAATAGATCTTGTCAGAATAAAGTATTCAGTAAGTTCTATTTACTTATTATAATTTATTTTAAGAGCCTCTTTAGAAAATTTAAGTATTTAGAAGCTTGGCCCACTATTTAAATATTTATGATTTCAGACTTAAAGTTTAATATTTTTAAAGTACAAATTGAATCTTTTAAATGTACATTCACTCTTTCAACAAATATTATGCAAATTGACATTATTTTTAATAGAAACTTGTATTATGGTATATGATCATGGTATATGACTCAAATAATAGTAATGCTATAAGTGAACTTTATTGCTGCTTCTGAAAATTCATATTTTATATCAATAAATAATATTGCATTAGTGAAGGCATAAAATGAAGTGAAACTACTTTATATCAATAAATAATATTGCACTAGTGAAGACATAAAATGAAGTGAAACTACTTTTTATTTATTTTTTTTATTTTTTGTTTTTTTGAGACAGGGTCTCCCTATGTAGCCCTGGCTGTCCAGGAACTCACTGTGTAGACTAGGCTGGCCTCAAACTTATAGAGCTCTGCCTGCCTCTGTCTCCCCCATGCTAGGATTAAGGTATGCACCACCATGCCCAGAAAATCTACTTACTAAAAGAAGAAACAAAGGCCCTTGAAATGATTTCATGGTAAAGGACCCTTATCACCAGGTCTAATGACCAGAGTTCCAATTCCTGAACCTACGTGGTGGAAGGAGAGAACCTGGAAGGAGAGAACTGACTCCATAGTTTATCTTCTGACCTCCACATACATACCCAAGATACACATTATGGCAGCCCCATTGTGATATAGATGTAAAATATGTGTGTGTGTGTGTGTGTGTGTGTGTATATGTGTGTATATATATATATAGTGGTTTGCGATATCTTATAATCTTTATGAGAAGGGAAATTATTTTCCTGAAGTTTTGGATCGGTGCAGAATCAGAATTGCTCCAGATTTTTCATCTGTAAAATGGAGATAATTGTTCTTTTTTTTAAGTTAGAGGATTTTAGGGTCTTAATGAGCTCATGCTTTGTAACACAGTCTACAATTTTAGGTGGTAATAGTATGACCCGTAGTGATTATTTTTCTAGTTATCAGATGTAGAAAAATACATAATTTAACTTTCATGAGAAACTATTCTTTGCATAAATAGTAATTGTATTTTGTTAATCTTATGCATTTTCAATTTATTAAAAATTTTCTGCTTTTAATGTTTCTGTTTTTAGAGTGATCCACTGGATAGGAATGAAGACACTTTACAGGAAAGGGAACATGAAAATTATTACCTGGTGCTACCAGCTCTGGAAGCACAATTAAAAGTTAGTGTCTCGGTTTGCCTTTTTCTTTTTCTTTTGATTAGAAGTAAAGAATAGTGAAAGAAAGGTGGTTACAGTGTTAAACGACTCAGTGCTTAGTTATAAAATGGTATTTTAAGGATCTCTCCCTTTTGGACACCTCTGTAGACCCTAATAATATTATGATGCTTAGTGGGTACATTAGACTTGTAATTCTAGCACTTGATAGGCTGAGACAGGGTGATAGTGAGTTTGAGGCTGGTTTGGGTTGTACACAGTGAGTTCCACACCAGCCTAGGCAACATAGCAAGACCTGTCTCAAAAAATACCCAAACTATTATATCTGCTAAAAGTGATAACTTTTAATAGCAGGATTTACTAGATTTTTATGCACACTTGATATGCATATGAGCAGTATGTAAATAAAATGTTCTAATGGATGAAGAAACATGAAGAGCGATAATGTAAACCTTATGCCCTGAGCACATCGAAGAAGGAAAATTATGGGGAAAGAAATTATAATATGTAACATAAAATTATTTTCCCTTACATAAATGTATATTCCTTTTTCTTTTTTTTTTCTTTTTTTTTTGCGAGACAGAGTCTCCCTGTAGCCCCAGCTGGCCTGGAACTTGCTATGTAGATCAGACTGGCCTCAATCTCACAAAGATTCCCCTGCCTCCGGCCTTTTGGTGCTGGAATTAAAGGCATGCCTACCAAGCCTGGCTTGAACATACATTGTTATAGTACTGCTGAGAATGTAGTCTTTTTAGGGGAAAACTTGTTAAAACTACTGAAATTTGATTTGCATGGCTTTTTACTTGCACAATTTCACTTTTACAAATCTGTTATAAGGATGAAGAGATACTACATTGGGGGGACAGAATGTGGGACCTGTACTACTGCAGCATGCACTTTACCACTGAGCTATGTTAGACCCAAGATGATTGTGTAAGAAGATGACGTTTTGGGGGCTGGAATGATTGCTCAGGTCAACAGTGTTTGCTCCTCTTGCAGAGAACCCGAGTTTGGTTACCAGCACCCACATGGCAGGTCATAACCACTTGTAAGTCCAGTTCCAGAAGACTGCAACACCCACTTTCTGTCCTCCACAGGCCCCTGCATACATGTGATACACATACATACACTTAGGCATGCACACATAAAGTTAAATCTATAAATATGAAGAATGTGAAGTATTTATAAATAAAAATGTTGATTAAAATTTTATATATCCATAGCTAGGGGAATGGTACATAAATTATAATATACCAGAACCATGGGATACTTAGAAATTGATAAATAGAAAGGATAGATATATAGAAAGAAGGGTTTGGTTATTTTTTTAATATTTATTATTTTTATTTTATGTGTATGAGTGTTAATGCCTGCATGTACGTAAGTGCACCTGTGTCGTGCAATGCCCGCAGAGGACAGAAGAGGTCGGATCTCCTGGAACTGGAGTTATGGATAGTTGTTAACTGCCATGTGGGTATTGGGATTCGAATTTGGGTCTTCTGCAAGAACAGTTAGTGTTCTTAACCGCCGAGCCATCTCTCCAGCCCCCTGGTTTTGCTTCTGCTGAGCCATCTCACCAGCCCCCTGGGTTTGGTTCTTTTAAATCAGGATGATCCTGATTAAAAATAACTTGAAATGATAGATGAAATACTTTTTAAAAATTCTTGAAATCTTCAAAAATCTAGCAATATAAGTCTAACTCAGTAAGTCAAATGTTCCATGCTGGAGACTAGAAAGATAAAAAAGAATATTGATGCCCCTTTTGTCCTGAGAACAGATTACTAAGCCTTGTAGAAATAAGCACAAAATCTTCTGGGAATACAAATTTATACACTAGGCCTCAGAGAAGTCTCACAAGTGGTATTTTTTTCAAAGCAAATGAGCCACCCCCAGAATAGACATGTAAAAAAAAAGAAGACATCATGAATAATTGTTTACATAAAATAATCAAGTAGCTTTTATATCAAAACACATTGAAAAAAAAAACTCAGTGGATTTGAATAGTTAAAAGAGCTGCAAAGCAAATTAGTGAATCTGAAAATACTACAAAAATTAGCCAGAAAGTAGCACAGAGACAGAAAAATACGCAAGGTTTTTGTGTTTGAGAGAAGGGAGAGAAATGGATGTCTGGGAGATAGTTGCCTGTTCATTTTGTTTCACAAGTCAGCAGTAGCTGCCATTGCAGATAGTAAAGTTCCATGTGTTGAAAGGAACTTTTAACACTTATTTTCCCCACTCACATTTTACATATGGCAAAGCATGGAGACCCAGAAAGATTAAGAAGTGCCTTATAGCTAAAACTAGAAGCCACTGCATTGTTCTTTTTTGCTCATGAAATTTGTTTCAAGTTGGTTGTTGGCAGGGAAAGTGGGGGATCCAGACCTTGAAGAAGCTTGTGAACATTATGAACATGTAGCGGGATATTGAGACCGTTGTTTGTAATGCTCTACAACTAGGCCAGATGAAAAGCAGAGAGGTGAATTGCAGTCACTGTATTGAATACAGGGAAGCACTGGAAGGAAAGATCTACAGCTGTTCGGGATATAGGAACAACTCCAAAACCTGATGTACACAGAACGACTCAATGTATAGAATGTTTAGAAACAAAACACACAACTCAAAATACTCTTTAGGAATGCATAGAAATGTACTACGATTAGGAAGATAAGCTAAGAAATTACCTTAAGAGGTCCAGAGTAGTGTTGCTTCTGGTATCGAAAGGGAAAGTTTGGTTGTTGTGGGCCCCCACACAGCTCCTAAAGTGCTATCATTTGGCTTGGACGCACTTTTGTGGTTACTGACTCCATTTTTAGTCTATAAACTTTTCTATGTTGTGAAGTCTTCAGCATGCAGAGCTCACACTAAGGAACATTAAAGTAAAGTTCAGTGTCATGCAGTGCAGTTTGTTCCTGTATTGAATTTTTGGTGTCGTTTCTGGTTGTAAGGAGGTAAATGAAAACAGTCCTTAACATACATCGACAGATTCTGGAAAGGTAAGCCATATGTTGGCTGTGTGGAATTCTGTATATAGGAAAAGTAGGTGAGGAATACATTAATGCTTCATTTTTTTCTTTTATAGAATGCTTCATTTAGCTTTATAGTTTCCTAACCAAAATTCACAAAATTGATTATTTAACTAGAGATTTGCTATTGTGTCCTGGCTCAGGCACACGATGAGGATGAGGGAGGAACTGAGGGGGAGGCAGTGCTTATTCCAGAGGGTTCGTTTTCAGTCTGCCCACCTTGGATGGGTACATATCCTCCCACCCAAGTTAAAAGTATTTGAGTGTATGAATGCTATGAGGCCAATAGAACCAGGTCAACAGGAGAACTTTAAAAATATTAGCTAGCCACTTCCCGTACACTGTGCAATGAGGTACAATTGAAATAATTCAGTCTTTTCCTATCCAACTTCTGTGCATTGATAAAAACAAAATTTGCCTACCTTAAAATTTAATTCAAAAGAAAGGAACTCCAGAGGGGAATGCATTTAGTTTTTTAAATGTAGAAAAACATGTTTTATTAAAATCCACATTAATACTTAAACACCCTCAGATATCATCTAAAATGAAACAACTTCTATCACTTCAATCACAAGACTGTTTAAATTTTCAGTAGCAAAATATATTTCATAACTATTTCATCCTTAGAGCTGAAATATATTTTTCTTGTATGGTAAAAGAAATGTATTGCCCTGTGCCCTTTTCTGCACAAAAATTATATTTTTTCAATGGTTTTCAGTAGATTTTTGTAAGTAAACTATACTAGCATAAAAATAGATTGAGGACTGTTCCTCACAGTACATGTTATCTTTGAATTTTGCCGATCAAAGTGATCATTTCTGTTCTTGATATTTTTGCTTATACGAAAGCTTTGACTTTGAAGCAGAAATTATTTCAATAAGAGAAACAGGGCTTTTTGGTGAACGTAAAACTGTTGGGCAGCCTTAGTCTCACAGACCTCTGCCTGCCTCTGCCTCATCATTCTCAACTTAATACATAAACTCTATAGCAGTTGTTTCCTATATCTTACCTTGAAACAGAAAGTACTTTTTTGTGGTAGATCCTTAGAATCTACAAATACAATAGTTTTTCTCTGACTTTCTATACTAAAAGGAATTGTAAAGCTTATTTGGAGAAATTTTTTCCTGAGTTAATGATATGTCCAATTTTATCTGAAATGATTTCTCTGGTAACTAGTTTCCTTTCTACTTTACAGGCAGAATTGACTTTTCTTCAACGAATAAAGCAGCATATCTCCCTTAAGGATGAAATTATTACAAAATCTTGGGCCATACTTAGGAATTCAATTCAAGGGACAGATGATAGTAGTGTATCCAGTCAAGGCAAGGTACTGCTCATCATGTGGCTGTTAGCATTTGATGAACTGAAAATGTGTAAATTGTTGAAAGGTGATTTAAATTAAAATGTTAGAATATAGTAGAAAATATTACTTAGTGGATTGAGAAAGAAAAATGACAGGGATTATAATGGTAGACTTTAATGATATTGAAATATGTTTGATTAAAGGAACCAATATTTTCCTAATTCATTGTGTATACTAAATGTGAACCTTGAGAAGTCCTTTTGTTTAAAAAAGTTTAACAAATTTTTAGTTGTGTGATTTGCATAGAAATTACTCATAAGAAAATTATACATTATACTGAGCATGGTTTAACCTCGTCATTGATGGTGACACAGTTTTGTCACTGATATAATTGCTCTTTTTCTCAGCCACATCGTTTATTTCTAATATTCCTCTAGTAAATGTCCTGAAAACATTTTGTTCTGTTTTCTTTTTTTTTTTTAATTTTTAAAAATGATTTATTTAATAACAACATACTTAGAAGAAGCATATCATTACAACACAGTTGACATATTCAATAACGTTTTCCTGAGGTAGGATGCATCTCTTTCAAATTTGGCTGTAAATTTTTAGGTTTACAGTTGAATTATTACAGTTATACAATATTGTACTCATTATAAACCCTATAAGACATAAATTAAATGATGTTTTAACCTTTAAAAAGATCTCCATTTCATT